TCGAGCCGGGCTCTCGACCTACTGCCAGGGCCCCCCTGCCTCGTGCAGCAGCCTGTCCACCTCCGTCCGCTGCAGCCACAGGCGCTGCTGCTTCTCGCTCTGCAGCTCTTCCACGTGGTGGTGGTTCCGGCAGATCTGAGCCCCGTCGCAGCTGCTGCCATGCAGCAGCCTGCAGGTGTTGCAGCAGGAGCACGGGAGGGCCCCCGGGAGCAGGCAGGAATGCATCTGGTAGTGGACCGGCTCAGCGGCTGCCCCCATGCCAAGCCCCTGAGTGTGGCGCAGGCTCCTGGGCTGCCTGGATGGAGAGGCTGGACCGCCCGCCCCGTGTGCCTGGAGGGCGGGGCTCTCATGGGGAATGCTGGGGGCCAAGAACGGATTCCCCAGCTGGGCAGGGAAGTCCATCTCAGCAGTCCTGCTGAGCTCGCGCCTCAAGGAGATGAACGAGAAGGAGGTGGCGAGGTCAGGGCCCTCCGAGGCCAGGAGTCCGTTGCCGCAGGAGGGCTCCCGGGTCCAGGAGGGCTCACTCCTGCTCTCCACCAGTGCCTGGGGGCTCCACGGGGGCTGCTCCCGCCTCAGCAGCCGGGGGCTGCCGCACTCACTGAGGGGGGCGGGCTCCCGGGACAACAGCCGGCCTCCTGAGGGCTCCCCGTAGGGGCTCTGCCCTTCGGGACTCTCCCGGTAGAGATCGAGCCCGTCACTGGGCTCCGGGCGAACCTCGCGGCTCCGCGGCCACCGCGCCAGGCTCTGCAGCTTGGCAACGCACCTCTCCAGACTGCCCTTTGCCTCCTTGCGAGCCATCAGCAGCTCGTCGGGTGGCACAACTCTCGGCTCCAGTTCCTCCACAATTTTTGCCAAGATCTCGCACTCCACCCGGGCTGCAAAAAAGCAGCAAGCTGCAGAGAGCAGGTTGGCACCCGGCGGTAGCCGGGAATTCACCAGGTGGAGATGATCCTGCTGTACGTAGCCCAGTCGGCGGAAACTCCGGGCAAGGTCTGCCTCTGGCAGGACCCCTTGAAGGACGTGAACGTAGACCCCCGAGAAGGTCTGCAAAGAAAGATGCCCGTCAGCTCCTATGACTTCTAGACCCTCCTCTGTATTCCCCGCCCCCCGCCCCCAAAACAAATTTCACCTTAATGGTGCCAAATTCTTTGCGCCAAGGGAAAAAGTACAGATTGACAGCTGCCAGCTCCAGCACCTCAAAGGCCCTGCCGAGATCCCGGAGGGCCCCTCTCAGATCCAGGTGTCCCCGCAAGGCAGCGGCCAGCGTGGCAAAGGTGTCCTCCCCATCCAGGCTGCAGTGAAGCTCCGAGTCCTCCAGCAGGTGATGCCGCAGCAAATCCTTCAGGGACGCGTCACTGCAGGCTCCAACGTGGCCCCTGTGGAAGTCCCTCTCCAAGCACCGGCGGTACTCGTCCTGCAGCAGGGCGCCGCGGTTCATCTTGAAGCTGGGAGAGGCGGCTGGTGGGCCTCTGCGCTCCTGAAGCTCAGCCAGCGCACGATTCCTGCAGGCGGTCACCCCCACATCTGGCCAAGAGAGGCGAGAGGGAGACAGCAATGGGGCTGAATCCCCCCAGCCCTCTGGCGAAAGGGACAGGCTGCCAGCTTCGGTCTCGGGAGGAAAGGACGGTTTTCCCCACTCTAGGGCATACAGGCCCGGGTGCAACAGAAACGCGCAAAGACGGGCAGGGCTGGACTGGGCTGAGCGGGTCGTGCCCACCTGCTGGGAGGCAGCCTGATTCCCCTTCCTGCCCAGGGCACCGGAGGCTCCGCTGCTCCCCTTCGGGGCACCGGCGGCCTCAGCCCCCTCTGCCGCCCAGCAGCCCAGTCTGAGCGCCGGGAGAGGGGCGCGGGAGGCTTAGTCTGGGCAGCTGGAAGCTCGCGGAAGCCTCCGGCTGGTCTTTCCTGAAGCCCCCCTCGGGCGGGACTCCGCTTCGGGCC